CAACCCACATAACCAGATGACATCGGTGGCAGCGGATGATAGGGCTATGTACTCGGCTTTTGTTGAAGATTGAGCCACCATAAGTTGTTTCTTGACTTACCTGGAAATCAGATTTGGGCCCAAGAAGGAGCAGTATTCGATTATTGATCGGCGATCAAGGAAGTCACTTGCCTAGCTTTAGTCGAAGTATGTATGCACAATGAGAGGTCCAACTTGGAGTTGAAGACCGAGAGTGAGTACCTTTAATGCAAGGTATTTTATTTGTTAATAGCTCCGCGATAGGGGATCATGAAGATAGCTCAGCAACAGGGGATCATGAAGAAGCTGAGACTAAGTATTGACTGCAAATTGAATGTCTGGACTTGTGATCGTGAGGTACTGAAGCGATCCCACCATATGACAAAATTGAGCGAAATGTAGAATGGGTTGTTGAAGATTGTTGTTTGTCTTGGAGGAGACCGAAGATGAGTTGGGTTGTGATTTACAATCAAACATATCTGCTCGTAGTCAGTTTGAGATAGTTGAAAACCGGTGGTGGTGTGCTTAATCTGAATCCCAAGAAAGGTGGAAACCGGTCCAAGCAGCTTCATGGAGAATGTGCATTGAAGATTTTGGATGAGATGATTAATAGCACTTAGTTTGCTTCTTGTTAAGAGAATGTCATCTATATATAGAAGGAGATAAAGTTGACTCGAGTTGTAATTGTAGGTTAGGAGAGAAGAATCAGCATGACATGGTTTGAACTCAAAATGGACTAGATGCTTGGAGAATGTTTCAAACCATTGGTGCAGTGCCTGTTGGAGATTGTAGAGAGATTTGAGGAGATGGCACACTTTATGGGGATGATCTCGGTCAATATATCCTAGAGGTTAGCACATGAAGATAGTGTCGTTGAGCTTACCATGAAGAAAGGCATTGGAGGCGTCCACCTGAAGTAGTTGCCATTTATGATGAAAAGCTACTGTTATGAAGGTGCGAATGGCTGGAAACTTTGTTGCTGGACTGAGAGTTTCAGTATAGTTTAGAAAATATTCCTGTTGGAATCCTTGATCTATGAGTCATGCCTTGTATCATGTCATGTTGCCATCAGCTTTTCTTTTGATGTGAAATGTCCATTTGCATCCAAGAATCGATTGGTTGGTGGGAGGAGGAACTAGTTTCCAAGTTTGTTGAGGGTAAAAGTGCTGAAATTTCTTCATCCATAGCTTGCTTCCAGTGTGGGGAGGTTGCCCCTTTCTTATAGTTGGAAGGTTCTGTAGGTTCGATGGTATGATG